TAAAACTGAAAACGAGCAAAGGTGAACTGGTTCGACCCATTCAAAAACTAATTCCCTTGGAAGTTGAACACTCCAGTCCTGAAGCTGATAACTTTATCGAGTCTACCACTACGACGTCAGAGACTACTAAGGGAAAAGCAGCTAATACCCTCGAAGAGTCTGTAGCTGTCCCTAAAGAGGAACCGAAATCGTTGGAAGAAACTAGCTTAAAGACCCGAAGGGGTCGTATCATCAAGAAACCGGATCGGTTCAAATATTAGAAAATGTTTGTCATTTTATTTTCGTTTTCATTTTTTTTTTAGATAGGTTGAGTTGCTCCTACCAAGAAGTCACAACTCAAGGTGGGAGAGATGTTGGAAACGCGCCCTCAGTACCGTTGACATAGAGGGCGAGACGCGTGTTACCGGCCGAGGAGTGACTTTGAGGAAGATGCCGGAAGTAGCCGCGTGTGAACGGAAGAAGATGAGATCGGATCGCGAGCAGAGAGAGTGCCCGCCATTATATATTTCCCGCCATTATAGCCGTTCGCCTCTTTTTACTGCCATTGTTACTACGTTTAATCCGAGTCGTATGCTCTCACTGTTTTATAATAAAGTAGCGTGTTCGTGTAAAAATAAGAAGAAGTGTCTAATATTATTGAGAACCTTACGATCCCGAAACCGCGGCTGCAACAGCATATATGTATTGCATATATGTATATGAGATCACTTTTATTATCATTTTCATTTATGCATTTATTAGAATCTACAAATCAAACATTTCAATTTCGAAACCAAACAAGAACATATTATAGAGCAACGAGACTTCTACCATAGAAAGGCGTGCCGCGAACACACCTTCAGAGCCTTCATTATAATAAAATTTTTACTGTCAATAACACTATATTGATCAAAATAAAATAAAATTCTCGTATAGTATAAGATATTTTCGTTTTTTATTTATGCTGATTGGATTAGTTCGTGAGAAAATGATTATAAAGATAGTCGTTTTTCAAATTTAGACATTTTTTATCTTAAAAGCTATTGATTATCAAAAAAGTCTAAGAGACAAAAAATGTTTATTTTGATTCAATTAAGCTTACAAAATTTTTTCGGAATTTTTATTTGTAGTTTTGATTCTTTAAATAAAAAATTGTTCATAACTATTCAATAACCCTATAAAAAAGAAATGTATATAGATGTTTTTTTGCAGAATAATATGAGAAATCGAATTAAATCATTTCTAACCACTAGAACGTTGACTGATCAATTAGTAAATTGAAAATAGAGGTAAATCGCTTGTATATGTTAAAGTAACTCCGGCAAATATGCCGCGCTGGAATTTAGGGCGCAGAAGTCAGAAAAAATAAAAGGAGTGGGAATAATTTTTAGGCAACTACTTTGTTACATGCTTTTATGTTATATTAGTATTGTTATATTAGTGTTATGATTTCAATTTCTTACTGTTAATATTAATTAAATTATTGTAAGTTGAATCGATTTGTCATTGTGTTGAGTAGCGCCATCATAAATTATAATCTACATAAAATGATTACTGTAGGACGTGCAAAAGATTTAGTAGTTATTTCGTGATACATACGAGTGTAGAGGAATAGTAAAGCTAGTAAATATTGTATAACAAAATACAAGTACTTTGCTCTTATA